TTCGCATCCACCGCATAATTGACCCCAAATCGCAGGCATAATTTGCCCTATCGCATCGCATAATCCTGGACACCCTACTCTGTCCCTAAGCTCTGTCCACAACTGTCCCGTGACAATATTATCCGGACTATCATCCGAACGATCACCCGATCCCAAATTGGTACGGTAATAACTTAAATTTACACTTTAGAATATAAAAAGAATGATACTTCTATACTTATAAAAAAAAAAAATTTTTCGACAAACCGGGAATAATTAAATTACGTATTAAAAACTCTAATTCAAAAATTAATACGTACGTACGTACGTACTGTATTGTAATAAAAAAATAAAAATATGCTGTCACCAAACTAACCAAATCCAGAATATAATAAAATCGTCTCAAACCCCAATTCTAGATTCTGAATCCTAATCTCAAACCAAGTCCAGACAGCAAATATCGATATAATCATAAATATGGTTCTACCGGGTGTTTGATAAGTCCTACGTAGACAGGACTTTTTTTTAGATGTTATTATTCTATATACGTATAAAAATACGTAATAATTGCGTAGTAATCGTTATAGTCTTTTATATAATAAAAGCTAATACCGCATTTTCACCAATACTTTATCGCTATTTAATTAGTCGCATGTAACTGTTTGAGAGAAATTTTTAAATGAATCAAAAACGTAACTTTATCAATTTATGTTTCGTACAATTGCCCATTTTAAATGTATCTTTTTCAAAGGCAACATCAATCGTTAACGTTAGTTCACAATTTATAATCGTCATTGTACGTAATATCGGCACGCTTACTGATTAGCGAGGAAATTATGTAAAAGCACAAGGATAATTAGTACTATGATGATCCTTTTACTACGCCACACTAGTGAACATCGGAACACCGGTTATAAAAAGATTTATTCAAATTTTTGGTTTTCCTAGATATATACTTATAGATTACCGTTATTACTAGACTTTCCTTTAACCACCTTTTAGTATTATGCCTTTGAACTACGTAAGCATTTGTATCGCTCTTTACGATTACACTGCTCAAAACGACGATGAAATTTCCTTTAAAGAAGACGACATACTTTATATTTTAGAAAATGACGACGATGAATGGTGGAAAGCTAAATTAAAGATCGAAAAAGGTGAAGACGATGAAAATGCACCAGAAGGTCCGATCGGAATTGTGCCTAGCAACTATATCCAGGAGGTATGCCTTTGAAGCTTTCAATGGGCTAGAAAATAGTGCAATTAGCTTATTGTGTTTGAGTTATATAGATCTGCTTATTAAAAACCTTCGCTTTGTTTAACAATTAACTGTATTTCTTTTATTTTTAGGCTGAATGTAAAAGTGTTTTGAAAGCTGTTTACGATTACGAAGCACAGTCAAACGAAGAATTGTCATTCAAAGAAGAGGATATATTCTACTTATATGACAAAGATGACCCTGATTGGTACTTGATTAAATTCAACGATGTATTTGGCTATGTTCCAGCAAATTATGTCGAAGAGGTTAGTAAAAGTAATCAAATTTAAAAGATTATCAGTTCAATTTAATTTTGGGTTGAACGCATAAATATGTAATTGATTAATCATTATTTTTGATCCATTTCGTTTGTAGACATCGCTTGATTCTGAGGAACAAGACCTACAAGAAAATCAAGAACCCAAGAAAAAAATGTCACTATTTGACGCTTTGTCGGTATATATAAAAGCATTTATCACACATTACAATTTTTTACTTTTTTTCGGATTCATAAAAATTTTTTCTCATCTTCAGAGCGCATCCGAAACCAAATACGTAGATCCATTACAACTTTATGCTCGTAAAGTTGCTACTCAAAAAAGTGGCACGTCAAAATCGGCACCTGATGCTAAAACATGGTCGGTTTCGGTAATGTATTTTATTTTGCGTTTCGAATTTTTTGATATACTGTATAGTCGCGAAATAACTATCCCTACACGTTATTTTATCCACCTGTGCGTCATCTATGTGCTACTTTGGAGTTAGTCTAAATTTTGAATCTAATTATACATCTATCAAATCCACTAACACATGTTATAGAAAGTGTGTGCTATTTTCGGGATATGCATGAGCGCCATTTTGAATCTAAATATGATGTCTTTAAAGAATACAATGTCCGAAATAATGTTCACGATCGGTAGAGGTTGGAACCGGTTGGGTTTATCACGTGAATTTGGCGATATTTTAGAATTTATTTAAAATTTAATTGGATTTAATTCTAAAATATCACAAAATCCACGTGATAAACTCGAATTATTAAGACCGTCTCCAACCTCTACACGAGCGTTACTTCGCGACCGTGCGATAGTTAAATGGTTAGATTTTAACATTTTACATTTATTTAGGAAGTTATTGTAGTTGATAAGAAGAAAAAGAAAAAAAAGGGTAAACTTAGTATTGGAGGTGAAAATGTATTTTACGCTAGTGAAACAGACAAGGTATTTCATTCAAAAATGGTAAAAATAAAAATTATGATTTATATAAATTTTAAATCAGTAATTTTATGTTCACATTCAGACTCCAGTTCAACTTTGGAATATTAGTGATGTGGAGAGTGTCAAATATGAGAAAAAAAATGTTACAATAACATTTGGTGGTGCAAAGCCAGCAACATTTAATTTTCTGGTATCAAATAAAAGTGATGCTGAAGCTATTTATCGACAATATGTGGAATGTACCGCAAGTTTAGAATTGCCAACTGTTAATATTGACACAAGCTCTATGAAATCTCCACGATCAACTTCAGCACATGATAACCAAGATAATGAAGAAACTGAGTCACAAGCTGGCGCTGAAGAAAATGATGTAGAAGAAATTAATGTAGAAGAGATTAATGTAGAAGAGGTTAATGTAGAAGAGTTTAATGTAGAAGAGTTTAATGTAGAAGAGGTCAATGAGACGGAGTTGCCACCACCAAAACTTGGCATTGTGTTATATGATTTCGATGCTCAAGGCGACGATGAGATCTCAATCCGTGAAGGTGATGAACTTTGGATTATTGATGATGTTAGTAGCAATGAATGGTGGAAGTGTCGTAAAGGTGACGAGGAAGGCATGGTACCCTCTTCTTATATTGATGTAAGTATAAACTAAAATTATTCAATGGTTCATATATGTAAATAGCTCATTGAGGTTAATTGTTCTTTTACAGATTCCAAATGAAGATGGTAATACTGACCAAGATGCTGCTGAGGAAGAGCGTCAACGGTTAGAAGAGGAAGAATACCAAAGGGCAGAAGAAGAACGACTAAG